TATTAATAATTTATTATATATATATATATATACATACATATAAATTTACATAATAAATATAAAAACAAAAAAAATTAATATTTGTAATTATTTATGTATAATTTATCAAAAATAATAATTTATTAATGAATGGTGGTGGGGACCACCTTTTTGGTGTCCAAGTCTTCTACGATAAATTTGTCGTTCAAAAATCACCTCGGGCAAATTTATGCCGTTCGGTTGGATCCAAAAGAACGGTAAAACTAAGGTTTTGCCATTCGATTAGAGTTGCTCCAATACCAAAACAATCTATGAATTGCGTTTTAGAAGGGAATTGATTTAGTATATCTCATTAGCGTTGATCTAGTGGTTCTCTTCAATTCGGATTGATCTAGTGGTTCTCTTCAATTCGAATTGATCCAATGGTGAAGATCTCTTTTATCTTTCTCACCATAACTTTCATTCTCACTATAACCCAACCTTCCAACTAAAATATTTGATATAAAATTTAATTTATCATTTTTATTGTCTACTAATTTATGAAAAGAATCGAAAAAGAATTGGAATATGTCTGTTTAGTTCACAAAATGTAACTCAAAAAATAGAATGACCTATGTTGTTATATTAATTTCAACGAGGTTAACCGATGGAGACTAGCAAAACGTTCCGAAAGATAGAAGATACCCTTAAAACCGAATAAATATATTGCAACTCGGGAAAAAAATATACGAGATCAAGAAAATTAAACGAGATACGTGAAATAAGTTGATGCTCGAGCTAGTTAAACCAGCATTCGACCATCGAGGATTCAACTACAATTCACATATAAAAATAAGCATTTTTAACGTAAATAAAGCCGGTATTGGTCGTTTTTAATCATCGACGTAGATGGTTTCCTGCTGAAACACGCCCCCGAAGATCTTCCTCACTTCGCCTTTCGACTCTTTCTGTTTCGGCTGCACTTGTGGCGGCGTCTTTCTAGCCGCGGGTTTCTTGACCACGGCTTGTTTCGAAGGCAAATTCCGAGCCTTGTTCTGTCCTCTAATTGTCGCTATCTGCACTTTTGGTAGCTTGAGGGAGTTGTTCTTAACCGCTGATGCGAACCCTGAGCTTAGTTTTCCCCACGATAGACCTAACCCCGGTGCACTATCTTGGTCTGCGCTTTCTTCCTCCACGGGTTCATCTACGGTTTTGTTGACGGTTTTGAATCGGTCCATGAGGTCCGTAAATGTCTTTTGGGCGGTTGCCGCCTTCTCTTGGACGTCTTCAGCTAAACTTGTTGCTGTAGCGGCTTGCGGTTCCGACTCATTGACGTCTTTTTCGAACTTTTTTGTTATTTGGGCTGCTTTTTCGGCCGCTTGCATGGCTTCCTCGGCCTTCTCCTTTGCGATGGCTTCCGCATATGCTTTTCGTCTACCGTCCTCCGGAATTGCACTAGAAGGAACACAATTGACTTGTTAAACCATCGTACTTAACTTTTACTTATAAACTATCGTTCTTGAAATATAATAAGATAAAGAGGGTAAATCAAATAAAAACCACTTACAAACTTATGAAAACCGATCATAAATCATTAAACGAGTTCGATTGTAAGATATGATTCAAGGTGTTTTACAAGTTTTGTCGTACGTGAAATTTCGTATATGTTGATCATATATGTATAGAGAGATGGGAGAGGTTCAAACGAGAATGGTGTCATATTAAGAGAATACGAGAACGGTCAATACACTGAAATCACATGTGGTTATGGAACGCGGTGAACAGGAGGCTTTGTGGGCGACTTGACCCGTGACCTATGTCGTGATCGAAGTCGCACCTTAATCATATGTGATTTGACCGTTCTTGTGTTCTTTTATTTTGACGTTGTTTTCGTTTGAACCCGACTCTTTCTCTCTCCATATCTATATATATCTATATCTATATCTATATCTATATCTATGTGTGTGTATATATACACAATATTACCTGAAAAGTTCACTCACTGGCCTTGCAGCTGCATCAGGACTTGTAGCAACTTCCACAACCTAACAGGAATACAACTAAATTTGTCATATAAATTAATATTAACCAAATCTAAAATATTCTTGATGACAAAGTTATTGATCTTGCTTTGACCGACCCGGTCTTTAACTGTTTGAAGTAGGGGTGTGAATCGGGTGGGTCGGGCGGGTTTAGGTGGGAAAATCAAAAATCCGATTGGATTTTGGATATGGAAATCAAGCCTAATTTTTGGGTTTCGGATTTCGAATTACTTCGAGTTCAGATTGGTCGGGTTTCTGGTTGAGGTTGGTTGGGTTCGGGTTTTGTTACAATGCAAAATATATTCAACCGGTTTTGAGGATGAATTCAATCGATTTAGAGGATTGATGAATCGACACGGCCGACTAGAATTTATAGAATTTTCAAAAGATAATTAGATAAATAAATATATTTGTATAGTATTTAAAATATATATTTATATATATACATTTCGGGTGACGGATCGGGTGGCCAAAAATCAAACCCAACCCGAACCCAACTTTTCTCCCAAAATTCAGTTTTCGGGTTTTTCGGGTTTCGGGGCATTCGAGATTTGCAGAAAAACCTTATTCTCGATTCGGGTTCAGGTTCGGATTTTGGACCATTGAGGTATTGCACGTCCCTAGTTTTAAGACCCAAAGGACCGTTCCAGGCTCGTGTTTGGTCCTTGTGGGTCCGGTTTTGGAACAAGTTTGGTTTATAATTTAGATAACCGGTAAACTTTACATCTCTCCCTAGGAGCATTTGCTCGCTTCCTATGGAAGAGTCGAGAACTGCATACATCTTATCATCGACCCCACCTTTATGCGAGATTCACTAAGGCCTGTTTGTTGTAGCCTAATGAGATTCACAGCTCATACGATTAACTATACATGACTGTTTGGTAGTGGTTTAATGATACAGAACTTTTGTAAGTTATAGGGAGCTTTATGCAGAAAACCAAGTTTTTTTCCAAACTCGCCCCTCCCAATTAAAAAACACGCTCCTTACATATATGGAAAAAAAACCTTCCCTAACAAAACTATATCTATATAGACATATCAATCCATGCAGACAACTTTATCCACCACAGGACTTAATGGATAACCAACCAAACAGCCCCTAGGTTAGGTTAATTTGGTGTGGTTTTGGCGATTTGAAATGGATTTCAACATTTTATTTTAAGTATATAATATATATGTGGCAAAACTTATACACAATTCTGCATTCTGTGAGGTTTGAACCCTTCAACTCCAAGGAGGTTAAGATCTACCAGTAATCCGGATATTGATACGGGCTTATCAATCACCCTTTGGCAATGGATTTTGCATGTTTTGGTGATTTCTTGCAATTCCTAAAGTAGTTTTCGTTTTGATAGCTTTCCTTTTTGTAGGTACTTATCGTCGAGTATCGTACCTTATTTTCCGCCACTTCCGTGTTCGAGAAAACATCCGCCACCAATGATGCGATCTTCGACTTCGCTACCTACAGTATTAGATCGAAAATTCGGTCAAATGCGAACAAATTGGACTCAAATTGAAGGTGATTTCAACTCTTTCAGTGGTTTTGGAAATATACAATAATTATATATAGCAAAACTCACACACTCTTCCGTCATTGGTTAGGTTTGAACCCTTGACCTCCAGGGAAGTTGGGATTTACCGATTACCGGGATACCATTGGCTTTCTTTGGTTCTTTCAATGTTTTCAAGGATCTAAAACTACTTGAATCAAAGAAACAATGGCATACATTACATTACTTTGTAGTCGTTTTCCCCGGTGATCCCTTCAGCAGTCAAGACAATGTTGTACGAACTCTCGGAAGCATAATCGTCGGTTAGTTTGGTCTTGATCAGGGTGTAGTTGACATCCGTTGTAATCAAACCATCGATGAACTCTTTCAATGTCAACGGCTGTGATTTCGCAAACAAGTTGTTGAAGAACAACGAAATCCCGTCTAGTACGTTGTTGGTGGAGGTGAAATCAGATGTTGCACCGTCGTATATAATGGTGATGTGGCTGACACCAGCCAATTGAGCACCTTGAATGAACTTCAGGGCCTCCAATGCAGTGACCTCTGTTGTTGGACCGTTTTGACCTGGACCGATGGTGACTACAGCTTTGGTGGCATTCCCGATCGCCTTTGCAATGGCTTCGGCATCTTGGAAGGTGGATTCAACGGCATTAAGGCGTTTGGATTCTTCGGAGGAGATGATCTGCAGAGATTGTCGAGGATCAGATATCGAGTTAGTGTTAGGTTCTGGTACCAAAAGTTAGTACAAAGAAGTAAAATAGACTCGTCTAAGCATTTGTACCATAGGCGAAGGATCGTGTGAGAAGGAAGTTATGTTGAGAAGCGTAAGAAGAGATTTGAACCCTTGATCACTTTTAATCTCATACCCACCCATAAATTGAGTTTTAGAAGGGAATTAATCCAGTGCATCACGGTGAACCTTATTAGTATTGACATTCAATTATGATTGATCCAATAGTGGAGATCTCTTCTTACGGTTCTCACCATAATTTTCCTTCTCATCGGAACTCAACCCTTGAACCATATGCATTACTCAATCCATAATCACTACCCACAGTTGGAGTTGAACGAAATAAATCAAACCAAACAAACCCAATAAATCCCAACAATTTGGTTACTAAGGGCCTGTTATGTTTTTTAACAGCTTAATGGAACTCATAGTTATTATATCAGCTATACATGATTTTTTGGTAGTGGCTAAATGATATAGAAAGTGGCTTATTCAATAAACTTCTAGAGGAACTTTATACAGAAAGTCAAGTTTTTTTCAAACCTACCCACTCAGTTAGAAAACAAGTCTGAGAAAACCCTCCTAAACAAAAAATTTCACAATCTATAAGGATATATTAATCCACGGTAGCTTTATCCACGCATGATTTAATGAAAACCAACCACAAACGATCCTAAGATTCTTATCAAATCAAGTGAATCTCAAATTGGTTACAGAATTTTGATTTCCATATCAACAAATAAAAACCAGTCTAACCATAAGGATGGTGCCTGATTGTTTGATTTTGGCTCCAAAGGTCAAAAGTATCAGTAGTTCAAATCTAACAAGGAATAAAAATCCCTTGTGGCCATCGAGGTTCAAATACAATGACTCTCGTCCTGGAATTAGTCGGCTCACATGGCGGGTTGGATATCCGCGTTAATAAAAGAAATCAGTCTGGTTATGATTTTAGTGCTAAATACGTAATCATTTAACACTCAAATTGGGAAGGAGATAAAGGTAACCTTGTAATTGACGGCCAATCGAGCCAAATCCTGGGCAGCACCGAGCTCAGGCACACCAGCCCTGACGCTAAAACCTTCCCGGAGCAGAGTTTGGGCAATGCAAATTCCGGCCTGTCCAGTAGCTCCGGCAACAAACACAGTATTCGCATCCTTGCGTCTACCAAACAAAGCGCCCGTTGATGACGGGTTACTCACAACCGGAATCAACGATTTCATATCAGAAACCTTCCCAAAGTCGAAATTGAAACGAAATCGATTCGAATTCTCGGTTTCACCTTCTCCGGCGGAGGATACATCCGATTTCTTGGCACAGACGATTAGTCTCCTAGGGTTTTTGAGTGAATCGAGCTTTGAGTGAGGCGTGGTAGTTAGGAGAAATGAATTGGAGGTGAGAGCTGGAGCCATGATTGAAAACTCTTGTCTGTATGTCGATTGGCTCTATCTCTCGCTCGTTTCTGTGGGTTTTGGCGTTGTGATTGGATCCATTCAATTTCTGAAAACCGCCATTAGAGGAGAGCTTTGGAGCTGTGTGTATGTGTAGGTGAGTGTGTCCGCATATTGGGTGGGTGTTGTTGATGATGGCGTTTGAATATTATCTGGATGATGAAGTGTTAATGTGCCAATCAATCGTATTGTGACACGTGTCAGGAATTATCTGTTAACGAAATTCAGGTGACCAGACGTTACGAGGGAAAAAAACCTCCCGCGAGGAAACGCCATTAATTTCTTTTTCAGCTTAGATTTTGTGGTGTATTAATATTATTGGTTCGAATTTTGCTTTAAAAGTTAAAAGTATCAGGAGGTTTCAGGTTCAAATTCAAAGAGAAATAAAAAACTCTTGTGATCACGAAGGTTTAAATACGGTAACTCCGAGCTATCTGCAAAGTAGGTGGTCAGCTCGCATAACGGATTGGATATCCAAGTTAATAAAAAAAAATCTAAATTCTTTAAGATCTGTGAGAATTTTTATTTTAATGTTTTGTTTTAAATGGTTTTTTCTATCTATGCATTATATTTTATCTATTGATTAACATATATTTGTTTCATATTGTGTTTGTTTTATATGTATTTAGTTTACAATGTAAAACTTTTTACATGTATTTTTTGTTTCATAAGCATGCCAAAAGGTTTATATTGTGAACCGTTTATATATGAAACAAATATGTGTTAACCGCTACATCAAACTCCAGCCACATGTAAAAAATCGAATGGAATAACTCATGATGCATTGGTTCTTAGAGTTCTCACGATTTAAGAGGTGTTTGGTTTGCAGATTCTGAAGGAAACTGATGAAATTGGAATGTTAAATTTTATTGACCAAATTTCATTCCCTCGTTTGGTTCATTTTTTTCTTCATGAAATGAATCTTTAAAATCCTATAAATTCCATAAATAAAGATTTTTAACATTATTTAACAACTACATAATATTTTGACGGAATGAAATTCTCTATTTTTATAACACAATATGTGCTTAATCCAATATACCCTAATATCATAAAACCCAATATGACTATTGTCGACCACCTCCGACCACCTTTGATCTGAACCACCACCAACTATCGCCATCTGAACTACCGTCGACCATCGCCATCTGAACCACCGTCGACCACCACTATCCAAACCACTCCCGGCCACCACCAATCTGAATCAACGCCGACCACCGCCATCTGAACCACTGCGAACCACCACTAATCTAAACCACCGTCGACCACCGTCGATCTGAACCACCGTCAACCACCATCGAAATAGCTATTTTAGATGATAAAGAATTAGTTATTTTGAAACAATTTTATAACGATTTAATAACGTCGTTTGGTTTATGGTTATATCTGGGTTGTGTATTTTATATTGTTTTACACATTAAATAATTATTTTATTAAAGTATTTTTAGTTTTAAAAAAAATTAAAATTTTCAAAAAAGGGCATTTTGGTCATCTACCAATATTTCATTCAAATTCCAAAGGTACATTATGTAAACCAAACAGACAGATTCCGGAAGACCTGTGAAAAAAATACAAGCTTTTACACCGTTTTACACAACAACTATGAACAAAGGTCCCATTTTTATGCTTTTATACGTAACAACGATGCATAAAGATGACAACTTTGGACGAGTCAAGGAAACCCTGGAGAGACCTCTTTTTCACAGTTCTACAAAACAACCTGTATCAAAATCATGCTTTTACAAATCCAAACGAAACAACAGTGTTAAAAACTCACGTGTTTACATATCTACATGAAACGTCATTCAAAATCCTCATGCTTTTATACCATTCTATGAGAGAACCATGAAAAAATACAAGTTTTTACATTGTTTTCCGAAAGATTTGTGAAAAAATACAACCTTTTAAACCATTTTGCACAACTATGAAAAAAAATCTCATTTGTACGCTCCTATACGTAACAACGATTTATAAAGGTGACAACTTTTGACGTCTCAAGGAAACTCTGGACACATTTTTTTCACGGTTATACGAAACTACATGTATCAACGCCATGTTTTTACAAATATATACGAAACAACAGTTTATAAAATGTTCACGTTTTTACATATCTACCTGAAATCGTCATTTAAAATCATCGCGCTTTTGTATCATTCTACGAGAGAACCATGAAAAAATTACAAGTTTTTATACCGTTTTTTGAAAACCTGTGAAAAAATACAAGCCTTTACACCGTTTAACCCAACAACTATGAAAAAAGGTCTTATTTTACGCTCCTATACATAACAACGATGTATAAAGATGACAAATTTAGACGTCTCAAGAAAACCCTTGACACCTTTTTTTCACGGTTGTACGAAACAACATTTATCAAGGCCATGTTTTTACCTTCACATCATTTTGTTGTGAAGTTTCAAGTGTAAAAAAGTGGTCTCACGAAAGCATGACGGTCTCATGTGATCTCAAATCCATATATATATATATATATATATATATATATTGGGGGGGCAAATCAAATGAGAACTATTTAGTTTGTGGTAACCGTGAGATTCAACGTGGACCAATCATTCAGGATAATTAATATGATTTCTTAAAATAAATATAAGGGTAACTTAGTAAATTGTACTGAACATTCAAGTTACTCTAATTAGTTTAGAATTCTAATTTTACATTTAAGTCTTGTATCTCTCTCTCTCTATCTCACAAACAAATCTATTCTTGGTAGGGTTTCAACAAGATCCACTGGGCCTATTCATCCTGGGGAATACTAGTAGAACACAATAGAAATCGAAAATTAGGAGCGTTGTCTGCTTACTTGAACCAAATTTCAAAAGAACCCTTAAAACCGAAGGATGCGTAAACAAAGATGTGTGTGTGTGTGTGTCTTTGTGAAAGAGGGCGACTTACAATCAAAGACTGAACGAGGGGAACGATCTGGACGAGGTCATTGAAGAGAAGACGGTCGACATTGCTGGCAGTAGTAGTGGCGGTGGAACTGGAAAAAGCGGAAAGATTTCGGCGAGGAGAAGATGAAGAAGGGCGAAGATCTTCGCCGGAAAGCCATGAAGTTGGTTCTCCACCACCAAAACCCAAAGTAGCATTGTCCTGCTCTAAATCAAAGTGTTGTGATGATTGATGATACATTCCTGGATTTTCGATTTCATAAAATCAACTGAAATTAGGTCTCCAAAATGGGAAACTATGTATTAAGGTTTAGTATCACATTGGTAATATAGTTGGTGTGAGTGGTATCACAGTGTTACCCCAGTTTGTACTATATTCGGTATCACAGTGCATCTTATATGTATTTTTGGTATCACAACGTGTATTGTCTGTATGTATCTCTTAAATTTATATTATGGATATGATTTTGGTTTGTTTTTAAGGTTTGAGTTGGTATCATAGTTGGTATCACAATAGTATCACAGTGATATCATATTGTGTATCTTTGTGATTACTTGGTACCGGCATAAATAATATTCACCGGAGGTAGGAGAGAGGAGAGAAAAGTTTTTAAAATACTTAGAATGTTCTCTAATTATAATTTTAACTCAAATTATCAAAATGGTTAGTTTTCTAATTTATCCGCTGATGTGTCTGAGATAAGATCTCACAGTTAACACAAACTAATCACTTCTTCTTTAAATGAACCTATATATATATATATATATATATATCTATACTATATTATAAAGCATTTGGCTAAAACTCTTAAACTCTTAATCTCTTAAACACGCTCATTCCTAAACGATTTCATCCCTATCCGATTTCATCTCATAACTGAATTCATTCCTAAACGATTTCATCCCTATCCGATTTCATCCCATAACTGAATTCGTGTAACTAACTGCAGATAAACACAATC